GGCCTTATTTGGGTCAACCCAGTTACAAATCCGGGCCTGGGAAGCATGAATCTTTAGGGCTACTGAACTATAGGATTATGAGAGCGGGTCATAACTAATGACTCACCACTCAAGAAATAATACATTTTCAAGTACCAAGAGTAGCCTTGTTAGATTAAGTTGGGCTTTCCGTTCCCGCAGGCAGATCTGAAGATGATAGATTGTCCTGGGAGGTCTCCTGTGACCTCAGTTTGTGTCCACGTGCAAGGTACAGCTCACATTGCACAGTTTATTATAAACCTGCTGGGAAGGCCTCCGAATAGGTCTGTCCTGATTCCCAAGTGGCTGCTAATGACGCTGCAGAAGTCAGGCTGATCCCAGGATTACAGGAGTGCTGTTGCCTGTGTGCATAGAAATGTTGCCCATAAACACATGGATCAGAGGAGAGGGTCAGAGCAGCGTCTGTCCTTGAATTAAAACAAATGTCCATAATGCATACTCAAGAGTGCGTCTCTCTCTCGCCACCTAGCATTTATTTAAAAAAGCTCTACTCATTTTTAAAATTTCTCTTATTCCCTATTTACATATTCTATTTAGAGGAATATTTCTTAGAACATTTACCCAGTCAGCCTTGGTGTGAAGGGTGAAACTTTAGTTAATAAAATGCTAATACAAAGGAAAAATGTTGGGCTACAATTTCTAAAATCAGAGTTCATAAATTCATCTCAGACACTCTGTGATAGATGTTTCGATCGATGTTTCAGACCAGTTTGGTCTGAAAATCAGTTCTGCATGTTCAACCTAAGTCATATGCTGCTGAGAACAACCTATCAGAGAGGGAAAAGAATCCAGAAGTGGGGCTTTAAGTTCTTAGTTTCCTTGAACCAAAAACCTCCTCCTACACTTTTTCTAAGTATTTGTTTAACCCTGTTTAAGTTTATTCATCCTTTTGAAAATGCACCAAGTAAATATATGAAACAATTTCACTTTATAGCTGGTACTGAACAAATTAGAATTGCATTTTTTTCATAGTATTTCATAGGAGAAAAAACACTTCCAGGCATGCGATTGTACAAATATGATCATTTGCACGTCAATTGTTTTATTAGAGTGGACAATAAAGTTAAAGACCAAGTTTTTCAGGTTTCTGGAAATGAGGAGGGGATTTGTATAAAGTTACTAGGCACTCGTTATGTTTGGGTCTGGCAGTTAATTTTTACACCTGGCTTATCTATGCCAAATGCAATTGCGGTATGTGTTGTTGGTCAGTGTTTTCTAAACAATTTTAGGGAGCAATCCAATAATGCCCTTTATCCCATTTCTCCACTGAACCCCCAGGGGGAGAGAGAAGAGAACAGAGGTCTTCCTCTGTTACAATTACCCATCACAACTGGGTAATTGTAGTCCTTGACATACCTCCTGAGACAGTGGGCAAGGGGGGAAATCAGACTCTTCTACCATAGACCAGGCTACTTCTCATCCACTCTCGTCAGGAAAATCAGCTTTTGGAATTCATTTATCAAATGAGGGCGGGAGGGAGTTGCCTGAATTAGATCATATGGTAAACAGTGGACCGTGATATCACTTGGAGGGTGAAACCACCGTTGTTTACTTTCAGGATCTGGTTTTTACAGTTGATGAGGTCTCAACTGGACAAGTGGCTTTTTTTTTAAAAAGTTAGGCTCACTTGGATTTTGAACTCTGCCTCCTTGGTGAGTAACTGAAGGAAGTTCTGTTCTTGCCTTAGAGCCTTTTTTTTTTTTTTTTTTTTAAATCTCCCCCGCTCCTGTGCTCACCAGTGACTGCTAAATATAAAGACCTTAGAAGCTACTTAGGATTACTGAATGCCTGAAACGCACAAAAACCCAAAGCAGAGCTAAACAGTCGTAGATGATTGAAGACTGCAGTTCTCAAGCAGGTGAAAATGGTTTAACCAGGTATGTTGATCATCCGTGTAAATAACTCACAGATGATTTATTTTACCGTTTTTTCTAAATTACCCTTTTTCCCCCCTAAGATGTGGGGCCTCTGGTAAAACTGATAAAACATTCTTTTTTTTTAGTGTGGTAAAATACACATAACATAAAATGTATCATTTTATTTTTTTTTAAGATTTTATTCATTTATTTGACAGAGAGCGAGTGAGCGCAAGCAGGCAGAGCGAGAGGAAGAAGCAGACTTCCCACTGAGCAGGGATCCCAACACGGGGCTTGATCCCAGGACCCTGGGATCATGATCTGAGCTGAAGGCAGACGCTGAACTGACTGAGACGTCCAGGCGCCCCTCATTTTAACTATTTTTAAGTGTGTAATAAAGTGTCATTGAGTGCATTCACATTGTGACCCAACCATCATCCCCACGAGCTTTTTCATCTTCCCAAGCTGACAGTGTGCACCTGGCAAACAATCCCCCCACCCCCTTCCCCCGCTTCCGTTAGCCCCTGACAACTGCCATTCTCCTCTGTGTCAGTGAGTCTGACTCTTCCAGATCCCTCATGTAAGTGGAAACACAGTGTTCGTCCTTATGCGACTGGTTTCTTTATTCACTTAACCTAATGTTTTCAAGGTTCATCCATGTTGTAGCAGGTGTCAGGATCTCCTTCCTTTAAAGGCTGAATAGCGTTCCGTTGTTGGCATATGCCATTTTGTTGATCCATTCAGCCGCCGATTGGACGTTTGGGTTGCTTCCACCTACTGGCTATTGTGAATCATGCTGCTATGAACGTGAATGCACAGATAGATTTTTTTCCTGCTTTCAGGTGTTTGGGGTACATACTCAGAAGTGGAATTACTGGATCGTATGGTAATTCTATGCTAAAGTTCTCGAGGAACAGTCATATTGTTTTTCACAGTGGCTGTACCATTTTGTATTCCCACTGTGTTACCAACATTTTCCTTCAGTTGTTTGAAATAACGCTCTCTAGACTTACAGCGTTCTTCCAGTTCTGTGTAGTTAGAGAAATAGTCAAGATATGCTTTCGCTTCAGTTTATTTGAACACAAAGGAAAGATTGTGGGATGACCAGAACGAACAGGCTTTGCTAATAATTTCCATAAACTTCAAGCAGAAGTTCTTCTCTTTGCAGCTTCACTTCTCACATACTTCCTGGAATTACAATTATAGCACAGAAATACCTATATTCTTGTTCACTTATTCTTTCTGTTTCTTCACACTGTTTATGTTTATAGATGACAACATAGTGCGCTTTGTGTTAATACACTATGTAACCACTATATTTGGTGGTTGCCATTTTTTTTAAGTATGTTTAAATAATGTTGCCATCAGCATCTTCACAGAACTTTGTTTGTCTTGGATGATTTCCTGATTTGCAGTAGGACAAATTCTCAGTAGAGGAGACCATGGCTCTGTTTAACACTTCTCTAAGGGAGATTCATCTTCCTTGCAACCTTAACATTTGACTTCCCAGAGATGTATTTATATCTTAAAAATTATATATGTTGTTCAAGTAACATTTTGTCATTCAACAAATTTTAAGGACTTAATCTTATATCAGCTTGATAATAAACCAATTTTTTTAATTTTTATTCTGCTGTACTATAGAGGAAACCTGAACATCTTAGAAGTTGTCATTCAAAATATTTGTATATAAGTGAAAACTCTTCTTTCCCCTTCATTAACTCTCAGAGAACTTTCTAAATATAATATTTAACCTTTTTAACATACGTACTACTTGTAAGAAGAGAGCCCGATCTCTCTGCTGATACTTTTACTGAGGATTTTTATGTCATTAAATCAACCATATGTGCACAGAACCTATTAGTTAGTACATAGCTTTTTGATAGTACTGTGAAAGAGAAAAAAAGAATTTAAAATGTATATTCTGCCCTGGAAAAGATAATAATGCCAAAGAAAAGTTTGTCAAGACAAGCAATAGATAATCAATATATCAATATTCAAAGCATGGTACGGAACACCATAGGCATTCATGGGCCAAAGAAGTCAGTGGGGGCTGGGGTGATCAAGAAATTCCATGTGACAATGAATGTGAGATTCAATATGTAGTGAGGAAATTAATACACAGTTATAATTTTTGTCATTCAGAATCAAGAGTTGAAAGTAGTGAAAGCTGCTCCCTATTGGAAGCCACCACCTCTCTCAACTTCTCCAAAGGTAAGCAGTGACCTCTGACCTCTGCTCCATAGACATGATGTCATTGCCCTTTGCTCTTCTCCCAGCTAGTCACGTTTTAGTGAAGATGGGAACAATTCAACTAAATTTATTCCAGGGCAGTGCTCTAAAATCTTGAGTACCCAAATGTATTATAAGGTGAATTCTTAGGATTTCTTTAGGGTATGCTCATGGGTACAGATGTTCTTTGACCTTTTCACAAAATTAGGGCTCTGATGGAGAAAGCTATCTGTCAGAGACTTTCTCTGAGAGGGTTCAATTGTGCAAAATCCAGCTAAAATTGAGTTCTTGAAGTAAAGTGTGTACATAGGAGTTTCTGGCCTGGAGGGGAGGGGTTGTCTTCAAGGAGGTAACTGATCTTCTTGGGGTGCCTCTCTACATATTCTTTTACACTAACACATATTCTTTTTTGATACTTCTATTTTTTTTTAAAGATTTTATTCATTTATTTGAGAGAGAGAGAATGAGAGATAGAGAGCACGAGAGGGAAGAGGGTCAGAGGGAGAAGCAGACTCCCCGCTGAGCAGGAAGCCCGATGTGAGACTCGATCCCAGGACTCCAGGATCGTGACCTGAGCCGAAGGCAGTTGCTTAACCAACTGAGCCACCAAGGCACCCTGATACTTCTATTGACTAAGCTCATGTGTACTTCTAGTCACCCAGTGAGAAACTATATAGTGAAGTGATAATTTGGACTGTCTTTGGTCTTCATTGCTCCAGTTAAGTCAGTTTTGTCTCCTCTTCGAATATTTCGTGTGTCCAGAAGTCCTATTGGGTGAATGAACTAAATAGCTTTTCTCTGAAGGACTAAGGTGGGGGACAAATAACAGTCTGAACACTCCCAAAAGGATTTATTTATTAATTTTTTTTAAAAAAGAAGCATGGCTTACTCTGGTAGTATGCAATATTGTTTTCATACATGTATACTTGAAACCAGATTTTTTAAAAAATAGCTGTTGTAACAATAACCATAATCTAATCAGCATGTCCATCAGTGTGCCTGCATTCTCCAGTGTCTTCTAGGATCTCCTCTGGTTCTAAGTCTCAGGGCCGGATACAGAGGGAAAAGCTTGCAGATGTTTTTTCTCTACAATTCAGTCTTCAGCAACTTGAGAGCTTTCTTCATGTTGTCGAGCACTAATGGGGAAAAAGTTGCCACAGTCAAGATGCCACCAGAAATTATATTGATAGCTCTAGTAAACCCCTAAATTTGGGTACTTTATTCATTGTTGAATGGGGTGCTATTTCATGATAGGGTGAATAGTTGGTAATTTTGTGAGACATTTTTTTTCTAAAAGTTTGTGACATGGGCTTTTACTAAAATCCAGTTCTCTTCCAATATTTATCACACGTCTTTTCTACAAAGCACTGTGATATTACCTGTGCAGGATACATGCCTTTAAGGACTCCAAAGTCTTACTAAGAAATATGCCATTATCTCGAGAATGGTCAGTACTTGGCATGTACTTCCCTGGTCCCCCCGCACCCACTGGAGGCATCGCTCACTAATGGACCGTGATAATCTTTGCTGCTGCTGAGATGCAGCCTCAAGTCTTTTCCCCAGCATGTTGTTCTAGGTCAGTGCCACTCGATAGTTATCTCTGTGATGATCAAAAATATTCAGTGCCTGTGCATTGAGTACTTAAACTGTGGTTAGTGTGCCTGAGGAATTGAATTTTAACTTTTAATTAATATAATGTTAAAGAGCTACATGGAGTTCATGGCTCACATATTGGGCAGTACAGTTCCAGGCAGCCCTAGAACTAGTCCTTGAGCAGGATTGGTTCTTAGGACAAAACCCAGTTGTCTTCCCGGAAGGACTAATTAGATGTCACACCTCGGTACAGTCTCCTATTGAGGTGCTTTGTCTGCCCTGAGTTTCTTAGCTTTGTTTTTTTCTTTCCATTTTGCAGGGAAAGTGAGTATCTTGCCACGTCCTGGGAACCATCTTCCCTACTGATCTTTAAAATTGAACTTAAACTCAACATCAACACACTGAACTACATTATTTCACTTTCATTATTTGGAAGAAGTATTTAGGGCATGCAGATTCCTAGTACTGGTGTAATAGTACAGTTACTATTGCACTTGATTCCATGGTAGGACTTTGTATGAGAGGGTGCCTAAGGAAACATTGAAAAGCAGGTAATATGGTCATAAAATCCTTCTAGAGAAGAAGATACCCCATCTAAAGAATCTTTCATTGAGATTTAAATAAATGAGACAACAGTGAATATGATTTGCCTGAGGGGCACAAGGCTAGTCAGGGTCAAACTGATTATCTGTGTTTCTGAGCCCAGCTTTCTCCCTCCTCATCATGGACCCTACTCTTAGTGCAAAACAACAATAGGCATGTTCACAGGAGGTGACACTTACGTAGAGCTACATCTGAAGGTTCATAAGCATAGAGACGATTCGAGTATCTTCCAGTGATGTCAGCTCTAACTGTCAGGGATGGGTCTACAAAGAAAAAGCAAACGGGAATGGAGTCAATGTTTCCAAGTAAGTTCTGTTGCGTGAGGAAGCCCATGTACTTGTCCATGGCCAGTGAAAGGAACACAGCATGTGATCCGCCTCATGGGGTTCTAGTCCATCTACTCTGTACCCCGGCCTGTGGCTGCCAGTCCCCAAAGCAGGGCCCGGAGCCCTCGACAACTGCGCAATGCTATTTGCGGGAAAGGTTATGAACCCTGCTGTCCTATCTATAGCAACCTGAAGACAAAAGAAGACATCCCGGCGGGGGGGGGGGTATTGGGTGCTTTGGTGAAAACACTGGCATTCTCTACTAAAGAACTATTTTAAACTTTTGAAATGTTCGTGTTGTAATCTCAGTGTGTTGCCAAGAGCAACCTAGATAATTAGAAACCCACATCCAATGCTAGTTTTCAAAACCCAAGGTTGTTTTTAATGAGTAAAAGAATGCAAACCTGTAAGAGTGGCAAAGGTCAAATAAGCATGTAGGGCCCTCTCTATTTTTCACTGTATTGATATCTAGCTGCATTAAAAAAATAAAGATTTAGGAGTCTTCCTTATGCATACCTACGTCCCTAGAGGTTTAAATCCATTTTTCCATGTTTTATATTTAATTTGAAGCCATCAACTAATGAGAAAAGAAGGCATTTTGAAAATACGGTGTATCGACAAGGGAGGTACTAGGATCTACACAGGCCTAGAAACCTTGCCTTGTCAGGGAGGATTGAAGGGGCCTAAGGTACACGTCCTGAAAATCAGATGAAGGAGGCACACGAGAACCAGTGGCTTGTATGCACATTCGGCCACTGGTACTTTAGTGGACAATCTGTCATTTCAGAATGTTGGAATGGGCCCCACTGACGTTAATTACAAAAAGCAGACATTTATTTGTACAACAAAGACTTAAAACCTATTATACTTCGGCTATGTGCAGAGGATACAAACGCAGGGTCTACTCTTTGTAATAAATTAACATAAGAAAAGCTTTTGAAACAGCAACCATGGGCTCACATAGCTGCCCCTGCAGCTGGCCGCAAACCTTGAACCACCTCAAGAGCTTCAAGAAATACCTCCTGCCTCCCATCCCGGCAAGATCCTGATTTAATTGCTTTGAGGTGTGGCCCCGGCACCTTGATTTTTAAAATCTTGTAGGTGATTCTAATCTGTAGCCAGCGCCTACACTCCTGAGCTGGAGTTGGTTCTTTTGGAAGGAAGTGAATGTGGGTTAAAATGCCTTTAGACGGGACTAAATCCTTTGAAAAGAACTCCTGCATAGAGTGTCACTGGATGACCTATAAAGTCCCAATTTAAACACTGTATATTTTCTAAATCCTAACATAACTGAATCTATAAAATTAGCTCGAGTTCAGCCTTCCTCCTTTTGATCCTTCACTTGTTCCTCTCCCCTGTTCTGTGCATTTAGTGTGAACTCAGATGGATCACACAGGCGCACCACTTGATCAGGTGAGCTCTGCCATGTGATGGATTTATTTATTCATTGTCCTTAAATCAGTATGACTTGGCTCAAAGTCGATCTCAATTCATGTGTCCAATCATTGAACAAATATTTATTGCCAGCCTACCACAGGGTCATGCTGAAAATATGATGGTCAGAAGAAACAGACGCAGTCCCAGCCACAAAGGGCTGCATATTTCCCCCTATGGGAGAAAAGAGATACTAAACAATCACCCAATAAATACAAGATTGTATCTGAGGATAGAGTGACTATTGAGAGGAGCACGGTGCCACAAGAGCACATAATGGCGATTGTGCCAGGTCAGGGATTGACAGTGATGACTAGGTCATGGGCAGGTGCATGGGGGAAGCAGGAAAAGCCTTCCAGCAGAGGGAACAGCATATGAAAAATACCAGTGGCTGGAAGGAGCATGGCTCCTCTGATTTCTTTTCTGCCAGCCGTCTTCCTAATTTGCCCACAAATAATTGCAAAAAATGTCAGAAAGAAAAATCCAACATACAAATTGGAAGTTTGCCTGATGAAAAATAAGAATTTACTGGCCTGATGTATTCAGGAAAATGGGCAATACATTTAAACAGTTAACAGGGTGCTTCCTTCTCTGATGTATTTGTGACAGGATATGATAAGATTACGTTGGTAGATGAGAAACAAACGTGGAAATAAGTGGAAGCTTGAATTTTCTAATGAAGAAATGTGGAGAAATGTAAAGGAATGTTCTACCCCTTGCTAGGCCATGGCAATGGCATTAGCCATGCTGGAGTGGCAGATGAGGGAGGGGGTGTCCGAAGACAAGATATCACAGCACTTGGTCAATTATCAGTGTGCTTAATCTCACTGTCATTTTTACTTACCAACAAACATGATCCTGGGGACATATTGGCCATCAGGAGAAAGGTGTTTGTCAGTTGTTTCATACTAAGATTAAAAGAAAAGACAGCTTTTAGTTTGTCTATTCTTGAGGTATTGTCCAACTTGTTAATACAGAAATCTGTCCATTACTGGAGGAGGCGTCTCGAGATACTGTAAGGCACATCTCTTCCACAGAGAGTTTATAATACAGATGGGGGCAAGTTACACACATGAAATAATAAACAAGAGAGCCAACCATAATATAGAACCTGAGGTAGAGAGCTGAATGAACATGATAAAGAGCAAAAAAGTTCAAGAAGGGAGACTATGGAGGGAGTTATAGCATTTGGGGAAGACATCTTGGATGAGATGGGAGGAAATAGAACAGTGGAAAAAAACGAGTCATTTTTGGAGAAATTACAGAAACAGGCTTATGGCACTCATTTTTGAGGAATGCACGTCAGTTGAGAGACACAGGTAAGAAAATGAATACTGAGGATCCAGCTGGTGCGGTGTTATGAAGGAGGACGCGCAGGTGCAGCGGGTGACCAGAACAGGGCATTTAACCCTGTATGCAAGGTCGACTAAGACTCTCTGAAGTGGGTGGGGAGGAGTCTTAAAAAAAATGAGTAAGAGTCAGGTACATGGAAAACGAGGTTACTCCAGGCAGTAGGGAGCGATTGCACAAAGGTAGAGGAAAGGTACGGCACTCTCTGGTAGGACCATATGTTTTGGGAGGACTGAAAGACAGAGGACGCACGAGGCAGTGGTGAAAGAAGATGCTAGAGAGCTGCCTCCGGGGCCGGCTCGTAAGAGGTCTTGCACACCGTGCCAGTGTTTGCATGTGTTCATAAATAGATCAGAACCACTGGAGGGATTTCAAAGTACCATGATCCCAGTGTGGTTTTTAGAGTCAGTACCCTGATGGCCATGTGGGATTAGCTGGGATTTATTTTGTAGGCAGGGAGCCACTAAGTAATACTGTAGTAAACTAGGCAAAGAGAGAAATTCTTACACTAAACAGTGGTCCTCACTTTATAGGGAAGTGACCTACAGCAAGAATATTTAGAAGTTAGAACCACATGGTTTCTTGACTGCTGGAGGTGAGTAGGAGAGTGCAATCTCGAATGAAACTTTCAGTGAAACACGGAATAAAGAAAGGAGAGCTGTTGGAAAATCCTGCACCAAGCGATAAATTCAGTGTTGAACACGTTGAGTTTAAGCTAATAATGCAAAACCTGGGCCACGATTGCACACACAAGTTGGAAATGGTTGCATGTTCGGGTAAGATTTGGCAATTACCAGTGCGTGGGCATTGATTAAAGGCAGATGTAGATGAAGTTATCCATAGAGAATATAAAATATTAAAAAGGGAATATAAAATATTGAGAAGTAAGTCAAGCAGAGATTCACCAAGTCACTAATATTAAAAGGTAGGAAGAAGAATAGGAGCCTGTGGAAGGGAGGTGAGGAAGAACGGATGTGAATGCTCTTTGAAGAAGCCAACCTTTGTCAGCTTGTGGAAAGGGGAGAGAGAGGGAGAGGGAGAGGGATGCGGGGGGGGGAGGGGGGGAGGGGGGGGGGAGGGAGGGAAAGGACATAGGGCTAGGGAGAGTAGTTTTGTGAGTTGTTTATTGTTTGCTTGTTTCCTTTTGGAAGGAAAAGTGGAACGTGTTTGTAGCTGAATAGAAAGAACTTGCAGACAGCTTGACCAGCTTGACCATCAGGAAGGGCGTTGATGGTAGAATGCACATGAGGAGGCTTAAGCCCCTGCACCGATTTGCTTTAGATAGCCCGGGAAACTGTCACCTCCGGGGAGAGAGGAGCCGAGGATTAAGAAGGGGTGCAGGGAGAGAGGAGCCGGGGTCTAAGAAGGGGTGTAGAGCACCAGGGATTTAGGGAAAAGGGCACAGGAAGAGATCTGCAAAGACAAAAGCCTTCCAATTTTTACAGCAACCGAGAAAATCCTGACCACAGAGCCTATTTTTCAGACAGCCTAAAATCGTCAATTACTAAATAAAAGCACAGCCATGCAAGATAGATTATTAGTAAAATATCTTTTTTCCCCCGTAATCTGTGAGATGAGATCTCTGGAACAGACCCCCGTCAGTGCAGTGCGACTAACAGGCATAGGAAAAGTGAATCATCCATTTCAAATAATGAGCCATGGAGAAATGTCAGTGCTGATGAAAAGTGAACTTACAACTAGGTTGAGGAGGACAAACTGCTCTGCCAATTTCTGGATTTCTTTATTTTCAGCAAACACTTTCTTTAAAGCTAGAATAGACAAAAGAATCAGTAAGTAACCATCTCATTGCTGGCTGACACCATTGCTCTCTATTATATTTTAAGATGAACTGTATTTTTATTTTATTTTTTTTTAAAGATTTTATTTATTTATTTGAGAGAGAGAGAGAATGAGAGATAGAAAGCACGAGAGGGAAGGGGGTCAGAGGGAGAAGCAGACTCCCCGCTGAGCAGGGAGCCTGATGCGGGACTCGATCCCGGGACTCCAGGATCATGACCTGAGCCGAAGGCAGTCGCTTAACCAACTGAGCCACCCAGGTGCCCCGAACTGTATTTTTAATGTATATCCAACTTTGCCTTTTTAGCAAATGATTAGTGAAGTAATATCTAGGCCATTGACTCCCTTTGCTGCTTGCCATTCACTCACTCAATCATTCATTCATTTATCCTTTTTTTTTTCAATCCATATTTATTGAGTGATTTTCATGTGGTACCACTAGCTTCATGAAAAGAGAAAAAAGAAGAAGAAGAAGAAAGAAAGGTAATGTGCTGTCTTCCTAAAGCTCAAATGCTTATGTGGGAAACAGACCATAAACAAGTAAACAGATTAATAACTTCAGGTGGAGATATGCACTTTAAAGAAAAATAGAGCAAGGCAAGAGGTTTAAGAGCTCTAGAATGTTCAAGGTAGAGCTCTCAGAGGAGGTGACATTAAAGGAGAGAATGATCCATTTGAAGATTTTGGGGGTCTGTCATGCTAGGCAGAGGAGGCTGCAAGAGCAATAGCCCTAAGGCAGGAATGAGCTTAGGTCTCGGAGGAGGAAAAATGCAAAGGCCAGGCTAGACAAAGTAGATCGAGTCCGATGTGGGACTCGATCCCTGGACTCCAGGATCATGACCTGAGCCGAAGGCAGTCGCTTAACCAACTGAGCCACCCAGGCGCCCAATTCACTGTGCTTTTAATCTATTTCTTGCTACTTAGTCCCAGTTATGAACTTTTAATCTGTGTCTCTGGGTACTATTTCTTTTAACTCAAGTACAACATAACACTAGGCATTCTTTAAAATAATTTTCTATTAACTACAAAAAGTACACTCCGATAAGATATCTGTAAAATCATTTCCTTTTAGAAGGCATCAAATATTCAGGGAACTTTATTTTTAAAGGATAAATCAAATAAGACATAGCTTTCATTGACCCAAACATGCATAATCCATCCTTAATATAAACAAGGCAGAATGGTAAGAACACAAAGATAGCCAGGGGCCAGATTATGTCCAGCCTTGTAGGCCATGATCAGGAATTTAGATTTCATTTACTTGTGATAAGAAGCCACTTGAGCACATGAGTGAAAGGGTCTGATTTATGTTTAACAGCCTCACTCTGGTTCGGTATGGAAAGCTAAGTGCGCGGTGATCAGTTAGGTGGCTGTTACAATAGTCTAGACAAGATGTGATCTTGGCTTGGATCAGGGCGGTAGAAATGAGTCAATAGGAAGTGGTTGGGTTTGGCCAGGGGACCTACATGATATATGGAGCCCAGGACACAACAAAATTATGGAGCCCCTTACTCAAAAATTACTATGAATTTTTAAGACAGCAACAAGCAGAGTTTTAAATCCAGCATAGGAAACTTCCAGGGCCTTGTGTGACTGCACAGCTTACACACCCATCAAGCTGGGGCTGGCTTATGGATATATTTGGAAGGTAAAGCAGTGGTATTTGCTGATGTAGTAGATACAAGATACAAGAGAAAACAAGAAGTCAAGGATGAATCCTAGAGTTTGTTTTTTTCAAAATGTGCACCACTGGTTAACACAAAGTATGGAAATATTTGAAGTTACTTTAAAATATGTTTTATTACATAAGATATTCTGTTTTATTTAACTGTGCTAGGTGCTAAGGATAAAAAGATGAGTGACCTGAGCCTTGTCCCTAAAGCTAAAAGCCTATAAAGGAAATTATATTTAGAAGAATAAATTACCTTGACTGTGTGGGCATTCATCCAAGTGATGAATAATCATTAAGGGCTTGTTGCTATAAGAGACAAAGAAGGTGGGGTAATTTTTAATTAGTAAGATTTCATGTAAAGCTACATAACACTAGAGGGTGCTCTTGGGAGCTTTAAGAGAACTCCGTGACCCTCGTCTTACCTTGTCTTGGATTTGTATAAAGCTTCTTCGTAGGTCTGAGTCCAGATGAGTTGATCACCCCAACCTAGAACAAAAGGAACCAGTATATTTAAAGCTATTACAATTTCAGACTAAAGCTGTTGAAAAGCAATGCTAAAGACTGGGATAAATATATACTGGATACTAATCGAATGCAAAGTCCTCTAAAGAAAGTAGAATTAATGATAAACTTTGATACATTTAGAAGAAACACGTTCAAAAATATTTTTGGCACACAAGCCTCAGCTTCTCAATGAAGTGGCACTGAAAGGTGACCGAAAGCTGACTCATACCTCTGGAGAGGGTCTGGGGCAGTTTGGGTCCAGAGTCCTTGGTGTCTTTCTTAGCCCCTGATTTTGCTGTGATGTCTTTGGCCAGGGTGTAAGAGAGGGCGACAAGGAGCAAGAATGCTGACACGGAGATCTTCTCCATGGCAAATCTGATATGGAAAACGACCGAGGGAATGTCAGTAAAACAAAAGGGAATTAGCAGCCTTCACAGCCTTTGGACTGTATCACGACCCTGTGACACAAAGGCACCTTAGGGGTAACCTCCTCCATTTCTCAGGAGATGGGTATAGAACCGAGTCCTCCAGATCTTGACAGTTTGCAGTGCTGGCTCCCATTTTCCCCTCTTGAAACAATTCCCCTAAACACACATACTTCTTTAGCCTTCTGTTAAAATGGGGATGTTGCCATTAAAGAATAAGATCTAAGTGAGACGAATCCTTATTTAAATTCAAACTGCCAACTTTGTCACTTAACTGAAAACTTATACTCAGCTAACTCTCTCCCTAGTGTAACATTTACTCAAATTCCATCTATTAGTTCTGAGGTGACGAAAATCTGTCCATGCAAGTTCATTCCACTGAAATAATTCCCTCACTCTCTCCATGGGCTTCTTATCGGTAGGTGATCGTGGGCATATATTTTCGGGCACAAAAATATTCTGTGGGGCTTTGGACACAGAGAAACCAAACCCGTGTGTGTCTCTTTGTTAACTTTTTTTTTCCCTTCCCGTATTTCACAGCTGATTCTTCAGGAAAGTTACAATACAAGGCAGAGACCTGTAGACAGGAAAGGGACCACTTAGATAAGATCGACGAGTGAGTGGGAGAGCGCACGAACTAGGAGAGTTGCACTAGCAAATCACTGTGGTTAGCTCTCACGTGCAGAATTAGAGATGGGATCGCTTCACAAATACCACGCTAATATGGGTGTAGGTCTCCATAAGCTCTGCAAAGGAAGCAGGATGGGCTATCAATGCTCAGTATTTTTAAGGTGTTCTGACAGCTTGAGTGGGAACCTTTGCTGTTTTTAAAAAAAGCATTTGAAGCTACCCAATTCCGATGATGCCTTGGCTTCAGCCGACCAGTTATCATCTATCCAAATCATAGTATGTGGCCGCAAAATGTCTTACTCAAAAAAGACATAAACAAAAAGCAAAGATACACTTTCCTCATTTTCTACTCAGATAAGAATGTGTACTCTAGGTCAGCAATTCCCGGTCTTCTTAGTACAAAGATTTCTTTTTAACATAGAGGAGAAAAAACAAAACAGGAACTTGGATGTGAGCATAATTGCACCTTTAAAATATGAGTTGATTCAGAAACATATCATGGCAAATAACTACTTGGAATTTATCAACAAACATTTTACTTTGTATTTTATTTATAGCAACAGCATCTCTTTATATCAGAAAAAATTGTGACTCCGGGGTGAAGCATTTTATCTATTTGACTCACTGACGGTCCTTGCTGCATGCCCCCTTGTCATCACTCCACAGCTCACCGGTTGGAACTATTGACATAATGCATGTGTTTATGGCAGGATGACTCACTGAAGCCTAATGCCACTCCTGCTGTGTAAGTATACTGCTGCAGGCTCACTTTCTGAGATTCATTCTATCAAGTTTTCATAATAAGTGGACTCAGACTCGGCTCTGCGAGGGTCCTGCCTAAACCACCTCAAAACAGAACGCTAACCATGGGAGATAGAATTTGGATGCACACGCGCACACACGTACACACACACTCTATGGAACCGCCCCCTTTTACTGGTCACTGTATGTCTGCTTATCTTTAGCAGGGAATGAACTTGCAGGAGGTTTCAGGATCCCTGTTCATAAATGCTTCAGGAAAGCAGTCAGATCTCTCCTCTTAAAGCCCATCCCATGAATTTCAAGACTCAAGATGCAACAAGAGTATCTTTACAGCAGATGGAGAAAGAGAACTATGTTTTCTGATGTGCAGTAATATTGTGAATTGCAGTTCTTAGCGGGCAGTCCGAGCTGAGATTGCCAGGCCTGCGGGCCTGTGCTCTAGCCAGTGGATGAGAAGCAGAGCAGTTGATGGTGAGAAGTGCACGGTGACGGTGACAGAAGACGCTGGGCCTTGTCCCAGGCCTGAACACGGTTAGAGCTCACCCACGCTTAAACCTCTTGTTTCTAGAGGGAGAGAGCGTTACCTTGAAACAGCTCAGGAATGCAGCCCTCTACCAGCTCTGGCCAAAGAAAGGCCCCAGTAAGCCTTTGATGGAAATTCCATTATTTCCCCTCCAAACCCCTGGGAACTACCTTGCATTTCTCTGTTGATTCCTGCAACTTTACAAAGTAATCAGAGAGAGTGCCCTGTGGAACAGTCTTGTCAGGAGCCTTACCTGATTTCCCCACCCACCTGTCCGAGTGAGCCAGCCAGCCTCAGTGCGGTCCAAGCCTCCCAGTGTGCTGGCTCAACCTGAGCCTCTATTTATGCTCAGAGCACACCTCAATCCCACCCACTAATCCCGTATTTACATGTTGCAAACTCGGAAAGGAGCTTTCCTTTTCCCCAGCAATGATCTTCCCTGGGCTGAAGAGTTTCTTGTTTTTAAAAATAACATTGCAGAGGATATGTTTTTCAGTATGCATGTTTTTAACTGTTTGTGAAAGTGTATTGTTAAGAGATTTGGAAAGATGGGCAGAGTGCCAAATCCAGGTAAACTTTAAATGAAGACATTTGATTTGCCTGAAGGCTGATTTGTCTTTACATGATTGGATGGAGTGTGTGGTTTGTAGATTTTTTTTCCTCCCCCTTGGGCGGATTGCCTTTATGTAGTTGAGAACACACAAGAGATGATTCACAATTCTAACTCCTCCAGTCATTTGACCCGCTCCCCTCCATTGTAGTACAAATTATTTTCCACCATACACTTCCTCTTCCTGGCAAACAAAATGTACATTCACAACGGCTATGAAAAAATGACCAATCAAGCATTCACAAAGTATTTCAAAGCTGAGGAAGTTATTGAAAAACGATACCTAATACTATGAGTTTTTATTAATTACATTGTAGTTGAATATATGCAGCAACTTCCCTTGAAAAAGTTCAAAAGTAATTCACAGGTATCCTCTCATTTAACGGCAAACTTTCCTGCAAGGCCTGTAGAAAGTCATTTATCTCATTTTTCAGACCTAGAAACTAAGGTCTGCAACTAGTTTATTTCACTCAAGATTATGCAATTATTCAATAAAGATTTTAAGACTGATTTTCTATAAAAAATTTCAATCCTGAGTTTTGTTCATGAAGCTATCCTTAAAGATTGGAATGGGTAAATCTTTAGCAATAGAAAATTAACTAATGGGATACAAACCCTATAAAAATGACTCTTTAAAAATGAATTAAGATCATAATATTTCAAAACATTTTCAAGTATATACATATATATATAAAATATATATATATATATATTTTTTTATTGATTTGACAGAACGAGAGAGCAGGGGAGCACAAGCAGTGGAAGCCGCAGAGGGAGAGGAAGAAGCAGGCCCCCCGCTGAACAGGGAGCCCCATGTGGGACTCGATCCCAGAACCCTGGGATCATGACCTGAGCCGAAGGCAGACGCTTAAGCAACTGACCCACCCAGGCGCGCCTCAAGTATAAATATTTTTTGATAAAGCCAAAATTCCCATGGGCAAAATAGTGATTCCCAAAATACTGAATTTTCTTTCACTTCCAAATGAGTTTACAGAGGTAATTTCTTTAGAAGTTTGACTGAAGACTGGTTGGCTCCGTCGGTTGAGCTTCCGACTCTTGATTTCTGCTCAGGTCATGATCTCAGGGTTGTGGGATGAGCCCCGCATGGGGCTCCACACTCAGTGGGGAGTCTACTTGAGATTCTTTCTCTCTCCCTCTGTCCCTCCCCTTCTTGCACACATCGTGCACACTCTCTGTCTCTCTCAAATAGGTCAATAAATCTTAAAAAAATGTTTGAAGACAATGATTTGAGCTGAACTTTAAAACTGCAAAGGCTTTTATATAAACCCTTAGTCTGTTCAGCCCGTAGAATATTCAACTCAACCCCCTCAACTGTGCAGATGAAAAAACAAAGATGTTAAAAAGCTAATGACACTGAAGGTCCCCACGACTCCTTTAGAGCATTGCTGGGACCAAAGCCCAGGGGTCCTCTAGTCCATCACCTGCTCAGAGTGGAAAATGGGCAGGATTTAGGGGTCACAAGATTTCAGTCTGAATCCTACCATTTAACTTCTCTGAAACTTCGGTTTTCTTTTCTATGAAACGGGGATACTGTTACAGTATAGAACTGTTTTGAGTACTAAATGAGATTTTAATGAATTAAGAAATGAGAAAGTACCTGGTTTTATTAGTTTGCTAGATGTGCTATAACAAAGTACCACAGAGTGGGTGACTTAGACAACAGAAATTCATTTTCTCACAGTTCTGGAGATTGGAAGGTTGAGATCAAGATATTGGCCAATTTGATTTCTTCTGAGGCCTCTCCTGGGCTCCTCAATGCCATCTTCCTACATATCACATGGCCTTCCTTCTGTACCTGTGTCCTAAATTATTCTTCTAAGGGCACCAGTCATCTTGAATTAGGGGCCATCCTAATGACTTATTTTACCTTAATTACATCTCTAAAGACCCTATCTCCAAATATGGTCATATTCTGAGGTGCTGGGGGTTATGATTTCAACATGTGAATTCTGAGGGGACAATTCAGCCCATACACTTGGTAATTAAAAACATCTTGCATTTGTTATAATTAATTATAATGGTATCATAATTATTCAACTGTACTCCTGTGCCTGATCTTGTGTCATTAAATACCCAGTATTTGTTGTAGTGACTAAGGTATGACAAGGAGGAAGTAATTATTAGAACATACCTTACACACATCACGATGATCGTGGTATCTTCAGCGTACCTAGCTGTCTTGGTGTGAAGCAACGAGGGTTTTGTAGATGGTACAAGTTTTTCTTATATGTTATCATATGTCATTACTTTTAAAACTTTTTTTTAAGATTTTATTTATTTATCTGACAGAGAGAGACACAGCGAGAGCAGGAACACAAGCAGGGGGAGTGGGAGAGGGAGAAGCAGGCTTCCCGCTGAGCAGGGACCCATGTGAGCCTCGATCCCAGGATCCTGGGATCATGACCTGAGCCGAAGGCAGACACTTAACAACAGAGCCATCCCTCAACCATCATTACTCTTAACAGTGACATCATGTAATCAGTCTTTCAGATTTGCCAAATACTGTAAAAATCTGTTGTTAACAGATTATTTTATTTTATGTTATTTTTTAAATAGACTCCACACCTAGTGTGGAGCCCGATGTGGGGCTTGAACTCATGACTCTGAGATCAAGACCTGAGCTGAGATCAAAAGGGAGATGCTTAACTGACTGAGCCACCCAGGTGCCCCAATAAATAAACATTTTGATTCCCCAAGTAGGATTTGGTAATGTGATATATAAGATAATGTTTGGCAAGTGAAACTACACATAGTACCAATGACATTAACAATAGGTTAATTAAGTGTATGCTATACGTTTGTGTTTTATACATTTATGTCATCATACTTTTAGAGGCGTTTATTAAAGCAGATTCTAAAGTAGATTATTTCCTATTTTTCAGAAGAATTTGGAGACTTACAACAATAATTAGCAATTATTGAATATCCAGTAGGCACTGGGCACTTGACTATTTCATTTATTCATACATTCTTTTGTTTCTTCACCAAATAGTCATTGAAACTATTTGTGTAGCAAATAGTATGCCAGGCGCTAAACATATAAAGGTGAATAAGAAATTGTCAGTCATTGAGGTAGCCAGACATATACATAGAAAATTGTCATTCAGGGCTTACTAGCCATGTCATGGGAAAACCCAAGGAAGTTGAAGACATTTTCCCTGCCCTAGGGTTACTTATGATCTGAAAAATGAAGATAGAAACTCATTAAAAATTAACCATCCATGTGAGAATATCATGCAATAAGGGACAAGTAATTGATATAGACACCAGCTGTTGTTATTTTAAAGAGAAGGTAGAGATTGCTACCCACTAGAATGTTTACAATGATAGCGGAAAGCAAGATTTCCAGATGGAGAAAATGATAAAGAATTTGCAAAATATGTTTGTTAGATATTTTTGTTTGTTTATTTGCTGGATATTTAATGGGACTAGTCTACCAGAGTGAGATCTATCTGGGTAATGCATAAACAATAGGTTCAGAAAGGAGTTTTGAGGCTATGTGCCTCTATCCTTGGACGTCATTATAAGTTTAGATTTCACCCTTAAGAGGAAGTGTCCTGCAGAGGTAAAGAAGGCCAGTTGTAGATTCAGAGTGGTTTGAGTTCAAATCCAGCTTTATGATTATTGTATTCTCTAATAACCCCTGCAGATCACTTAAGCTCTCTGTACTTTAGTCATCTCACTTGTAAAGTGGGGATAGATAGCAAAACCTGCTTTCTATTATCCGTGGAAGACTACATGGAATAACTAAGGTAAAGTGCTTCGAATGGTACATAGCATATAGTAAGCGCTCAGAAATATTAGTTACTGTTACAGAATGTATAACTGGCTTCTCTGGGTCACAATCGTTTAGGCCTCAGTCCATTAACTCCATTATGTGATTTTTTTTTTATTTTTTAAAAGATTTTATTTATTTATTTGAGAGAGAGAGAATGAGAGACAGCGCGAGGGGGAAGAGGGTCAGAGGGAGAAGCAGACTCCCTGCTGAGCAGGGAGCCCGACATGGGACTCAATCCTGGGACTCCAGGGTCATGACCTGAGCCGAAGGCAGTCGCTTAACCAACTGAGCCACTCAGGCGCCCCCTCCATTATGTAATATTAAGTCGGTGAACTCCCTGACAGCAGAATCTTTGATTCCTCTTTGATTATAGCTTATTATGAGGCTTAGACTTTCAACACACACTGCTGGAAAAATGAATTTGTCATCATAACAACCTCACCAGACACGATTCTTTTTAAAAAATAAGGAAAATAAATTCAGATGTGTGGACGTAATTGACCCAATGACACAAAACTGATGAGTGGAGAGATGACTGAGAGCCCCCATAATTGCTGATAATTAATCCAATATTCCTTCCTGTCTACCAAGCTGCCTTCTGATGTCAGGAAGAGATAAACCTGTAAGCAACTGTTAACCCCCTCCCAGCCAAACGGAATAATGATGAGCTTTATGTAGAGGAAAAGGAGAATAGCTTCTTGTCCTCTAGGACTTCGCCTCTAATGGAGGCTTTTCAAAAATATTTATCTAACTGCAGACCAGGCTGCTGAATAAATATGCTTTCCCTAAACTCTAGCTTGGAGAAATAGACATATAGCATTAGTGTTTTGACGTACAGAATGAGTTGATTGCTGGTTTAGTTTATCTTGATGTTTGATGGGGGCTTTTGCATA